ACGATTGCTTTAGAAATTTTCAACCTTAAGAAGGTTTGACATTGATTGATTAGTTGATTGATTCAAAATTATCCTTCACTTTATCATATGTAGGTTTCATCCGACGGTTTCAGAGCCAGAGCTGGTAGAAATATTGGGAACATTGGAACCAGGACATTGTCTACTCTGCTACCACGCTGAGACACCTGACAATTCTGAATTCATGCTAAAGGTTGGAAGAAGGTAGATTTGGAAAATTTTGCTTAGCCTCAATATTCAGAATATATCAAAAACCACTGGCAGACGATTTTCATCACTATCAATTCGGCTTGATTTGGACCCACAATAAATCGGAACGGAAAAAAAAGTTTTCGAAGCGAATGTCTATGTGGTCCCAACTCTGGCAGCATTTCTTCAAAGGTTATCGTCTCGTATTTGATGCAAACATGCCCTTGTGATGTACTCAAGATCTCTCCGAAAGGTCTCAAAGGTTATCGTCTCGTATTTGATGCAAACATGCCCTTGTGATGTACTCAAGATCTCTCCGAAAAATCACATGCTCCGGACTGTACTTTATGATCCATTGTCAGGGAAGATGGAGGGGTTTTGAGTGATCTCTTTCCCCTATAAATCAATTGCACCACTGAACAGATCGCTCCCATGTGCAGTCGAGCGCTGTAACATCTACACTTCCTATGGAAGGGAAATTGTTTCTCACAGTTCACTTTTCTTAATGCTGCTGTTATGTAGCAGTCTGTATGAAAATGCTTAAATAAATATTTTTGTGGTTACTGCTTGCAATGAACCTATCTTATAAGAGCTAATGTTTGAGGATGTAAACCATACTTTAATATGATTCAGAGTGAGCAAGCGACTTTAAAACAAATCAGGCTGCAGGGGAGTGACCAGCTCACTGAAATGAATCGAATTTAGTGGGCTCTTTGAAAGGGGAACTGGAAGCCAAAAAATCAGAGTTCGGAAAAGTAGTCATTACTTCTATTTATTAGCAGCCTGTTTTCTGATGTCGTGAAAAAATCTGTTCGGAAATTTTTTGTACTTTCCTCGTAAGTGTAAGGGATTCACCCAATCTAGATGGGATGCCTGCTGGCAAAAAAACTTAAATCCATTTCTCAACTCAACTCGACGACGTGCATGAGGTCTTCTGATGTTTGGTACCTGTTCTGAGTACGGTAGCTATACGGTAGGCAGATAGCTCATAGCTGCAGCTAATGTACATACTATTTTTTATTTCGCCCCCAGTAACGTAACTAAGCAACAATTCAAAAATATTTGTTAAAATCAGTAAAGTGCGGTTCATAATTATACGAACACCCAAAATTTTGTAAGTTTTTGGACTTTTTGGGAGAAACTCAAAAAGCCGTTGATACCACGCGATAGAACACAGCCGAAAACGGTATGTGATCCATAAGAATGGATATTGATGTCAGTCTTAGGAGTGTTTTTGCGCTTAATGCGAATTTTTAGCGTTCATAATTATACGAACACCGCAAACAAAGGTCCATTTCTCTTCAAGATTGTAATCATTTGAGTCCAAATTTTTTGTAGAGTTACAGTAACAAAGTCTGACATATCTGCTACACACTGAACCCAGTGAAGTTCAAAACGAGGACCGTTACTTTTTTCAGAAGGCTTCAAATGCTTTTGGAGTGATTGGGCTCCAGAAACATCCGTTCTTCTGTGGTTTACGCGCCCTAATTAGCTTCTATTAAAGCTATGAGATAAAATAAGCTCTTGCGATAGGTATTTTGTTTGACGCTTGGAAAATCTTTGCGTATTCGTGCCGTTTTTCAACCAAGTTCCAACCTTACCCTAGAGTTTATTTATTTATATAATACGCTCATGGGCGTGCCACTTTGTTAGTAAGCCAACAAAAACCAACAAACATAAGACGTCAATGAAGTTAGTAATACATCAAAGGGATTTAAGAAAAACACGAAAACATGAAAAGGCATTCAGTCTCGGTATGAAAAAAATGCGGCGATTGAGAATTTGAATCCGCGCAGGCCAAAGAACACTGATTCGAGGAACCGTTGTCGCCAACGTTAACAACACAGGTGCAAGAAAGAGTTAGCACGATTTCGAGCCTCAAAACTCAGCTTCTGAAGCCGACAATGAAGTAAGCATATAGTATGTAGAAGTTCACAAGACTATATATTTGGCTAGAAAAAATCAGCAGCGTTGAGCGTTTGTTTTGGCCACGCAGACGTCATTTCACCAAAAACACTGTTTTTACTATTGCAGTCACACCTTTATTTGGTTTGTAGCTCCACAGCCTTAAGATCAGCTCTACAAAAAACCCAAAAACTTTGGCACAGAAACATCATCATGCAAACAATGCAGCTGCTTCATATCAAATGTTTGCACAAGAGAGAAGTTGAGTATTGAGGCTCGAAATCGTGCTAACTCTGTGGTAAGGTTGGAACTTGGTTGGAAAACGGCACGAAAACGCAAAGATTTTCCAAGCGTCAAACAAAATACCCATCGAAAGAGCTTATTTTATCTCATAGCTTTGGTAAAAGCCATTTAGAGCGCGTAAACCACAGAAGAACGGATGTTTTTGGAGCACAATCACTCCAAAAGCATTTAGAGAATTCTGAAAAAAGTAACGGCCCTCTTTTTGAACTGCACTGGGTTCAGCGTGTAGCAGATATGTGTCGGGACGCAACTGAGCATTGCCTGCTCTCCTCCCGTGGGCTGGCCAAGGAATTCAGATAAGAAGCCAGTGCCCCTTACGACCGCGCCCCGTAAGGCTGCCTCAGCAGTCTTATCCCCCCTCCCCCTTTCTGTAACATATGTAAATAATAAATATATATAGTAAGTATTCTGTACCGCCGCTACACATCAGGGAAAAGGGAGTCGACACCTTTTTAACCTGATATGGAGGATGAGGTGAAGGTCGTTTGTTTGGTTATCCAATCCGCCTAAACCGATTCCTCTACTCAATCAACCTGAAGACAATGGTACTCAAATCGAAGTTCTCTATGGTCTCGCCGTAACACGTGTACTCCTTACACACGTAACTCGGAAGACGTCCAACAACAGCCGAACAAGCTCCAGGACGAGCTCTCTCAAGGAATGGAGATGTCGGGACGCAACTGAGCATTGCCTGCTCTCCTCCCGTGGGCTGGCCAAGGAATTCAGATAAGAAGCCAGTGCCCCTTACGACCGCGCCCCGTAAGGCTGCCTCAGCAGTCTTATCCCCCCTCCCCCTTTCTGTAACATATGTAAATAATAAATATATATAGTAAGTATTCTGTACCGCCGCTACACATCAGGGAAAAGGGAGTCGACACCTTTTTAACCTAATATATGTTAGACTTTGTTACTGTAACTCTATAAAAAATTTGGATTCAGATGATTGCAATCTTGAATGGAAAATGGACCTTTGTTTGAGGTGTTCGTATAATTATGAACCGCTAAAAATTCGCATTAGTCGCAAAAACACTCCTAAGATTGACATCAGTTTCCCTTCTTATGGATCATATACCATTTTCGGCTGTGTTCTATCGCGTGGTACCAACGGCTTTTTGAGTTTCTCTCAAAAAGTCCGAAAACTTACAAAGTTTTAGGTGTTCGTATAATTATGAACCGCACTTTAGGAATGGTTACCCATTCTACTCCAACCATATCCAAACAGCACTGCTATCAGAAAATGCGCCTCCCTTAGCTGTTTGAAAGACATCCTCGAACGCAGAATTCCTCCATTTTCAAACGACGGCATTAGATGCGAATTTCCTGATTCCGGCTGCTGTCACCTTCTTTTTCATCACGAGAGATATTCATGCATCACACAAAAACGAGGTCAAGTCGAGAACGAACAGGAACTTTCGTTCAAGAGCAAAGAAAACCGAACAGTTTCCAAAGTGTGGAATGACTTGGTCGAAAGTCTCTGGTGTTTTGCGCAATGTGTCCAATAAAGAAAATTTATGTATGCAGTTCGTAAGTATTCCTCCAGGTTCTTGCTGATGTCTCGCTGTCTGACCTTTTTTTGAGTTCCTTTGAATTGTGCACTTTCTCTAGGCTATTCAAGAATTACGAAAAACTTTGTTTCTAACATTAGAGAATTTTCTGAGTCAGCATCTTTCAATGACATGCATACGCAGGTTGTCCTTTAAGTATAACTGTTTGCTCGTCATCATCTCTCTCCCCACAAAGTCTTTGCCAAGCTGTGCTGTTGTGTAGGGCTGACTTAACTTGATTTCAAAGTATAAGTAGACTGTTGTCTCTTCATTACCGCAGAACTACGGTAGGTTTGAAGGAGATTTCGAGCCACGAGGACAGCATTGCTATTTAAAAAAGGAAATCAAGCTAGGCTGAAAGCACCTACACTACCTAACAGGGCCGCCGAATTTAGTAAAATTTTGTACTTCAACGTAACGCTTCTTTGTAAGTTATGCAGTGTGCTAGGTTGCAGCTACTATTTTCTTTTCAGTGTTCTTGCGAACGTCATTACGGCGCCTGAAAAGCTTAAAAACTACTAAAGGGTTGTGGTGTGATACTAGCATGCGCGTAACACTGCTACCCGAAATTTTGGTTTGCCTCTAATATATTGGAAGCTCTAATCGTGATCTGTAGAATGCAAAACGAACGTTGAATTGCTTCGTGGTAAAACCTAGACTAAACTCAGCTCTACAAAATTGTAACTAAAGAATGAAAAAAGACTTTGTGGGAGATATCAACGATCAAAAAGTTTGTACATAATTCTAACAAGAAGAAACCTGTAAGTATATTTTATTCAATTTTGCACTTGGGACCCAACGCCTTGATTTTTCCGTACTTGTGCGTGTTTTACAACCTCCTATATCACCTTCTTTCCTTTTGAACCTTATTTCCGTTCTGGGTTTGCAGACCAACGCTTTTGCTGCTGCACATGCACATTCGACCAAAGCAGCTTTGAATAGCTGAACTTGTCAGTGGGGCTCGTTGCTTCCCCGTTTTGTTTTAGATCATATGGAGGACATTGTGCAAGGAAGTTCAACAAAGAAGTCAAGAGAAGAAATCCATTAATTTGAACTTCCACTCATTCAATTACAATGTCAGATGGGAGAAAAACACATTTAAGCATACTGTTAAGGACAAGGGATAATCTCTCCAGAGCTGCACAGTCTATCAAGTGATTTTCTTGGTTTTGATTTGAACTTCATCTGCTGGCAACATCCACTTTTCCGAGCGCGTCCTCCAGCGTAGTGATTTCGCCTCAAACATCCTGTTATTATCAAAGTACCAAATAGTACAAATTCGAAAATTGCTGCTATATAACCCACTCTTGATGTCGCGAACCATTCTTTGTAGTTCGGAAACTCGATCTAGCACCTCGACTCTTTGGGTGTAAGCATTGTAACGAACTTGGAAAGACCGTGGAATTGTGGCTGCCCACGTTCTGCAAAATTTCGTGTCCGAATCGAATCAGCATTCCTTTGCACACTTACTTGAGCTTTTCCTTAGCACTAGTAAAGGAGTCGGCGAGGAAGTACTTTGGTTGATATTCAGTTATGGGATATTCAGTGTTTGCCGTATCATTTGGTTCAAACGGCGACACTTGTGGCTGAATGGCACCATGATCATGCGCATTTTGGTTTGCTTTAGACATACCTTATCACTAAGTGCATATTGCAATTCGCCAAAAGATGAGAGAAGTCCGGCACCATAGGCTTTCTTCTCTCCATTTTGTAGGCAAATTCCAAACTCCACGGTGAACCAATAAAGCTAAAAATCTTGATTTGGTTGAATCATATTTCTCGCAGATACAAAGCTATATCGCCCACGCCAGTCAATGACTGGAGCGCCTAAAGAGATCAATAAAATCCAAAATAAACTATCTGCTATTTCGAAAACATACATACCCTGGATAGCTTGGAAAGCACTGATTCAAATATGTAGCTCAAGACTTTGTACGAAAAGTTCGAAGATCGTTATTAACTTATGGGTAGAGGACTATATACCGCCGAAAGGGTAGTCCTACGCGGACATCTGCGACAGTAGCGCGTACGTAGCTATGCGTACTACAGAAATTACGGGTTTGTTCCAGCTGTCCGCGCGGGGTGGAGCTTATTGGGACATATAGTCCCTTACCCTCAACTTATCAGTGCAAAAGCAGCACCAATAACATTTAAAACGTTTGAGAAAATTGACATTTTAGATTTGGGATGTACTGTCTGGTAGGGAAGGCAGTGCCGAATCAAGTTTAAAACCAAAAACGAAGAGAATGGTTTGATAGAAAGCTATTTCAATGTGCACTTCCGACGCAACATCGCGTTTACATTGCCACGGGGCCAAAAATTATGAGGGTCCGCAATTCATAAACAGACTATTAAATGCATGAGACAGTGCTGGTTTCAAGTATTCATACTAGAGCTCGACTGGAATAATCCGAACAAGCCTTAGGGCGGCACTTCCGGCGCATCATCGTGCTCAAAACGCATTGGAAAGGAAAGCTGAGGTGGTGCTGTACCTATGAGTCTAAATATTTGACAATACGTCAGATTTACACAGTAAGCATGCAAACGTAAATTTGTTATCCATAGGATCATGATTGTTTAAGATATCTTCTGTTCACAACGAAGAAGCTTGACAAGAAATCATTATTTTTTCATATTCTCAGTGACTCTTACGGTTCACTTTTTCATTTACCCGTAGCTACCTTGATAAAGGTAAAGATCATTCCGGATATAACCTCTCACCGTAGCTAGCTGCTTCACAACCTCATCGGAAGCGCCCAAACTGGCCAGTCCGATTTCTTGAGAGAACTGAGCAAATTCTGCGTCTGCGAACAACGGTGCATGTCCAAGCAATTCATGGCAGATGTCGCTAAAATGTTAGTACCATTATGGATTTATGGAAAACCAGAAGTAAAGACTTTTAGGCTATTTACAACTTTATTGCTTTGAAAGCTTTGAATACACTTGATCGATTTTTTTGGTCTGCTTTTATTGAAATGAAACTCACGGTTCTGGAGTGTACTTTGGGTCAGAGTGATGCCGTATATATTGGGTGGAGTGGAAGACTCGGAAGGCCAGACCAGCCAGGAAATCTCTGGAAGAGAGAAGACCAGCAACTGGACGAAGTGTGAAACCGGTGCAATCTGAATACTAATAGACATTGAGCAGGTTTTGTGCAGATGTAGCCCACCTTTGAGGAAGTCGGATACATCTTGTAGTTGTGGGATGTTGTCAGCTCTAAATCCACAGTTTTGTTGAAGTAGAGGAAATATGTAGTTGAATTCTTTGCATGCATGTGTTGGATATAGTGCTACTAGCTCCTAGATAGATAATTTGGCTATTTTTCCCTCTTGAAAAATTTATTTAGCTTACATTATAAACAGTTCTCCATGTGTCCACTTCTTCGGCTGTGTATTCTATGCGGGGAATTTTGTCGCCGCTGAAAAACTCTTTTTTTTTAATCGAAACATCTATACACAGTAATACAATCAAGCTCACTGTCTGAAATTGAACGCAATATCTGCAAAGTATTTACGACGTTCACGATAGGTGGTGTCTTTGAAACCCTGTAAAAGTGTGTTGAAGTGGTAATCTCAACGTTCCATACTTTTTGCGCCAATCAAATCAATTAAAATCGCCTACTTCCCCAGTTTTTTGAGAAAGTTGTCCCTTTTGAAATGGCAAAAAGTTTCGCAATAACTTTCACTCACGGGATGATCAGAATCCAGTTCTGCTCCATAACTGAGAATACGATTAGCGAACTGGTCAATGTCAGCAATACGGCGAGGAAACCATGGCACAGAATCTAATAAGAAACTTCGTGCAATTTTCAAAAAATTCCAAAACGATGGATTTACTTACCTCCATTTTGCTTATTGCTTGAATTCCAGTCATGTACCATCAGTCCATTACCCCGCTTTTTGAAGATGTCGATGAGCTGCAACAAAAGCTTTTTCCAATTTTTGTTTAGGAAAGTGGAAACTCTATACACACATCTTCAATCTTATGCTGGCTTGCGTTCTCCTCACATTCGACAAGAATTTCATAGCAGCCTGCATGTGTTTTTGATGGACGAGACTCTATGTGCGACAGATTTACTTCGTGGGCCTGAAACTCAAATTAATCTTGTGAACTAAATGAATTATCGCTTTTGCTCAGTAGAGATCATGCATAAATAAGTCGTCATGCGTTATATGCTAACAAAGGAACGATCTTTGATGGCCATGGCCATCCTTGATGAAACACACATCGCTAGATGCGCTTCAGAACGCCGATCAATCTGTTCGATATCTGCTAAGCGATTTTCTGGAGTAGTTATGAACACTTTTTCGATCAGAATTTGCAGTGCCTCGTTTAAGCAAAACATTGTGCACACACAGCATTGTGCTCCTTGTTTCGCCCCTCGGAACAAAACTTGAAAAAGAGCGCATTAAATATGAGATTGCACAATCCGTTTTAGTTGCGTTGACTCGAAAATTCGGATATCAATGATTTTCACGCTTTCGTGTGCTAAAATCATACGGAAAGAAGCTCATAAATTTTTCAGAAATCGATGAGCAGATAATGAATGCCAGATTTGTAATCGTGTTTTGAGATGCATTTTGTGATATGCGTCTCATTACGAATGGCCAACCTTATCGAGCATCCTTCCATTGTGAGAACCAAAATAGGGATTTTCTTGTAGGGATGATAAAATGAGATTTTTGTGCGTTGTTGAGTTTTGAGAACTAAACGTTCTATTTCGCTCTATTTTTATCTCCTTTGAGTGAGACATAAATGGGTAAGACTATTTTGATTCATATGAGGTTCTTCTTGATACTGTACACGTTGTATTCTCAAAGGGTGTCCCAAAAAGTTCCTCCTGTTCGCTAAAATATTCTCTTGCTCTTAGCATTCCCCAGTTTTGAGTACCAGTACATAGAGCTGACTTTAGTTTGGTTTCACAGTATGGAGCAAAGCCCAGCCTCTCTTCGATACTGTAGGTTCTAGAAACTATGAAGTAGGTTTTTGATCGTTGAAATAACATCTTATTTCAAAAGATCTCAAGAATTTGGAGATTTTCTTAACGAATAATTCAAAATTCTTTATGCTCAAAACAAGCATCGCACGTTACCGTTGACCTCTGCTCGAAAACAAGCGGGCTACACCTTTAGAACAACCTTTCAAAACAACTCAAAAATGATTACAATAGCTACAGAATGTAGGAAGGTGTTCGCTGAGCTCGAAAACTTTCATAACCCTTCCACAAGAATTCCAGGTGTTCAGAAATCTAAGCGTGTAGTTTTCTAAATTGTAGCTTTACAAGAAAGCCTACTACCGAAAGTTTCTACCCCGTAACTCCAGTACCGAAAAACGCAGTGCATCGCTCTATAACTAAGTTAAAGACCGCTTTAGGAAATGTCTGTGCAGATTGGCGAAGACTACAAGGCAAAATAGACATTTTTATTTATTAGACTTTAGGGACATTTTTAAGAAACTTTCTGTTGTGATATTTCTGCTGAATTGCCTTCTTCGGAGGCTTGGAAAAGTCCAGTTCGCTATTTCCCTTGATTAGTGTAAGTATCCATTCATCCTTTTCAAAGTGCATACAGATTCTTACAACAAATATGATCACTACATTCTATTCATGCTACATTGTCACAATCATGCGTATCTATGAACAGCGACGATCTCGTTGCTATGAAACCTGTCCCAGGTGTCAGGGCGATTCTGTATTCTTATCAACATTCCAAATGTGAGCGATGATTCTTGCGCGAAAAGTGCAACATTGATGAAATGAACAAACGTAGCGCTTATCACCGTACTCCTGTGAGAAAAAAAATGGAGATCCAAGTGAATATTGTCGAGTCTTTACTCAGACTTGATTTGATTAGTTGTTGAACAACCGATTCGCATTTTGCATACTGTAGTCATATACAGTATGCGAAAGTTAAGTTGCAGCAAAGTGTAGACATTGTATACACTTCTAACTGTGAAATTGGAAGTTGTCACATAGAATTAAAAATAGTAATAATCAAGCATATCAGATTGAGAAAAGTGAGCATGGCCATTCAAACTTTCTGAAATATAAAATGCACATCATTGCCTGTAAGAGATGGCCATGATTATCGATGATTTGAGCAAGAGAAGCAACTATTGCCGGAAAGCATATCGACATTTATGCAGTATAACCTGCTAGAAAAGCTAGAGAAATTTTACTAGAGCTGAATGATAACAGTAGTAAAGTTGATATGTTTTAGAAACATCTAACCAATGTGTCTTGAAGTTCCAGTTTCCATCCCTACTTCAAGTTTATTGGTTCACTTTCTCATTAATATACATGAGTTAAGGATTGTTTTCGCTATACTCCGAATTTCGGATAATCCAAGAGATTTCAGGATCTTTTAGCTAATGCTTGTCCCAAGCACATCGGAATTTTCTATTAACTGACAGATATAAAGGGATACCAGCAGCTTATTGTTTCAATGAACGGAACTTTGTCCTACAATCCCGATGTAGAAAAAAATAAGTTTTTGCAAGGGCGCAAGATTGTATGTGTTTCATTTTGCGCAGGATATAAGCTTGTTCCATTGCTCCTGTCGTTCAGATACTTTGATCATACGGAATACGAGCTCCTTTATAAATAAACTGCAGGCAAAAGGGTTGAAACACAGGAAAAGTGGCATTCAGCGTTCTCACAATAAGTGCTTACAGAAATTCAGCATCTCGAACTTTGGCAGATGTTCTTCTGTAGCAAAACCTTTGCGGTGGTTGATATTACTTGGACCATTGTTTCAACAAAAAGAAACAAGCTTTACAACGTCTTCCTATAAATGACTGGAAGAATTAAAGGCAAATTTTCAAAAATGTTGCTTACTTTCAAATCCGAAGCTACTTACATGAGAAGCCAATCTTTGTTAATGTACATATAATGTGTAAGATTTTCATTTTACCCTTCTGTTACTCTTGTGAGTTAATTTGTTCGATTTTACTGATTGTTGCGCCAGTCTTTGCTCTAATCAATTCAAGTTTCTCAGTCACGCTGGTCATCATTACAACCGTATCATATTACTTGATAAACACTGCGTAAGGAACTAGCGATCATTGTTGCCCGAATCAAACTACGTTCCGATTACCCTTCAGCAATTCCTTTAGAAAAGTGAAAAAAATTCAGCTACCTGGAAAACTTTGAGAGTCTCTGCTAGAGCGCCTGGTTTCTCTTGCAGAGTGAAGATAATTGTCGTACCTCTACCATCTGTATTAACATCGGCGACGTAGGAGTCCATAGCGTATTGCTAAATATAAATACAAATAGGAATTCTGATACTGTGTTGAATTTTGAATCCATCTGTCGTATTCAAGAGTAATGTCCCAGCGCCCGAAATGCAATGAGTACTTCCCAATTAGCTACTAAGATTACCTACCAAAAACTTCTCATCAACAAGATGTGTGGGTGGCATGGTGGTGCGCAGAGAAGAGGTGTGATAGAAAGGGCGGTGACTTCAAAACAGCGGATACTGTAGCTAACTTTACAATGTGGCCAAGAGGGTGTATGTGAGACAAACTGCATCAATTCGCAATCAGTTTTTTGAACACTTCATAGTGCTAGAAAACACTGAAAGTGCAGAATTTTGAACAAAAACTGCAGCAATTTTCTTTTACTAAAAAAAGCACAGCATGTTCCTGAAACTGAGAAGGATCATAGATTGCCCCCTATGAATTGAGCATCAAACAGCATCAATGCATAAATGCAATCATAGTATATCATTGTTTCTATATTTTCCAAAGTCAGTCTTACAAAACGGAAACATCGTTGTTTTCCAATCATTACTTCATCACTTAACGATGAGGGTAATTTAAGGGCATGGTCCTGCCATTTCTTTTCAAAAACGCGCTACGCATTGACAAGCTTCTGGAAATCATCCGATATACACATTTTTAAGCCTCTTTTGAAGTGATCTAGTACGAGTTGTATGAAACTGTAAAAATCTCAACATATTTCCTAAACTCATTTTAAAATGGCAGCTCTAATTTATTATCGAGAGAATTCGCATGCATCGATATGGGAAGGATGTTTACCTATTTGACACCAGAAATCATAGCGCATTATTTGAAACTGCTCAAATTATAGCATACCACCTAAAAATTTCCATGTGCCTAAAATTTGCCTTCGTGTTTTCTCTAGCGTTGTCTTTGATGTTGTATGTCCTTATATATAGTGATACTTACGAATTACTGTAGGAACATTTGTCTGATAATTTGCCAAAATCATGTGTGGGTTTGCCCTGTCAAACTCCTGCGGCAATTAGATGACTTGCTTTATTGTAAAGAGTACTAAGTAAGAGTAAGAGTAAGAGTAAGTAGTAGTAAGAGTAAGAGCTCTTACAAATCGACGGCAGGGTGCTCCTAAGAACTACAAAGCTCAAGCTGAAATCGGCATACCCGCATACATTCGCGTCACTTGTAAGAAAGAAAGTAAAAATCGAGGTAAAGTGTTAGAATATACCTTGGCCTTGCAGTAACATATTTGTAAACTTTCAAAAAGTTTTATTTTAAGAAATCCTTCAGTTGCAAAAGAGGAAGATCGCCACTTTCCAGTGGCGCTTACAACACTGAGACAAAATCTAATTGTACACATGAGGCAGAAGTTAATGAAGGAAAACGCTCATACTGCATTCTTAAAATGGAGTTGAAAATGTTCGACTTTTCCAGGTTTTGATGTTGTTGTTCGATTTTCCGATTTTTATTGAATTTTGATTCTTCTTTAGAATAACCTTATGTGGTAATACACTACTAGTTTTCTCAAGCATTTTACAACGTTTTCTGGCATTTTCCAACGCCTTTGTGACTTTTTGAAAATATAATATAAAGTCAATGATAGGAACTCCAGGAAACAGACTTTCTGTGTGAAAAAAGCAATGTTGGCTGGTATCTCCTTCTTAGAGTGCCAAAACAACAGTAGGGATCACAAAGCAAATTATGTAGCTTGCACGATATTGAGAACATATTTGGGAGAATAAAGATGCACCCGTACTAAACGTTACGGATCTGTTCTCAGATAGCTTGATGATACGGCTATCATCGCAACAAATCGATGTTGTGAACGATAAAATGATAACGTCATCGTTGCTATCTCTAATTGGAACTTCGAAGTTTTCTTTGCCTGTAAAGGATCTCTCCTTTGCCGTTCATAAAGGACCGCTTTAATCATCCTCAGACATCCGTCAAGGAGTTAAGACAATTAAGGAGACATTAGAGATACTCTGAGTTCCGTAAATAGCGATATTCAATCAAGAAATAGTGATATTGAAGTTGTAGAGGGCTGTATACTAGGCTTATATTGCTACTTTGAGTTGTTGCACACCTCAGCTAGTACTGTGCCACATAGCTCTGATTTACGCTCCCTGAAGCTGTGTGAACAAATTTAGTAAGACTTTTGAAAAATACCCAATTTTACTTAAACACCTTTCTTTTCTTTGGTCATCCTGTATTTCAGTTCGTCTATTACCTGCAATACTTGTGATTACATTAGTACCGTCAATGACTCTTTGCTTGCGCTTGCCGTTAGCTTGATGCGAGAAAGTTCGGATACCGTGCTTTGTGTGGAGTTTACCATCTTATATATAAAGCTGAATGTCTGTTTGTATGTCTGTATGTCTGTCTGTCTGTATGTATGTATGTACGTATGTTCCGAATAGAAAATTCCATTTCTGAACCGATCGGGACCAAACTTGGCACACATACACTTTGGGCCCCGGCGGGTGTCATAGGCTACTTTTAGTCATCGATCGATATCGATTTTATCGATTTTTTGGAAAATTGGAGCCACAGGGCTGGGAGTTGGCACAGGGGGGTAATCGAGCATGCTGATTACAAATATATTATTGACAGGCCCGGGCGGAGCCGGGTTTGCCAACTAGTTGATTTTTCCATTCTGTTTGGTGCTAATATATAGGCGATTCATAGCACGCAAAAAATGCGGACGTATCGGCGTCTCTCTGATCCAGCGCTTTGTCGTTCCTCTTACCAGCTGCTTTCATGCGAACTAGTTCGGTCGGACGTGATGGCGCCAAGTCTCTGTGTGTCATGAATCGACGATATGTTCTTGGTACTACTGCAGCCATTCTATTAAGTGGCCTTTCACCTTTTTATCATTCTTACAAGGGAAGAATACTTGGTGACGGTGGCCTTATACACTGCTGGCCATAGCTATAAAGCCACCCTAAAAATCGCCATAATTTGCCCTGTCAGGACAAAATTGTCTGAAAACCACTATTCTACTACTGAACCAACGTCATGTCATTGACAAGAAGGGCTCCCAGTTTCAATGATTTTGTACGGAGAAGAATTGAAAAATCCAAAAAACGTGTTCCAAAGGCTGGTCATAGCTATAAAGCCACCTCCCATTCTGCCACCAGTACTTCATTCCTTACACCTAAAATTTGTTGTACTTATATATCATCAAAATGTGAAACTTTTGTCACATCTTCTTGAAGAGAAATTTGATAAAGTATTTTTTGCTTGAAACGCATAAAAGTCACAGTGTTTAGAAAACTGCTTTTTTACCGAATTTTCAACCACTTGATCAACTCGAATGAAGGCCTTAGGATTCTCTAAGCCTTTGCAATGAATATGGTGAAAAGCGCTTGAGTCAACATTGCGTAGTCGCTGATTTTGCTGAATGAGCCACCTCACCCAGGTGTAAGCGTGCAGCGAGACGCAAAGCTCATCTGAGCGAAAACTTCTGGTTGGAAGTTGAACTTTGTTTGCATGGTGATGTACTCATGCAAGGGTTGTCAAAATCTTTGCAAAGACGTGTTTGCAACATTGGAGTTGAAATACTTTATCTGCAGTGCAGATGTGCTTAGTAGAAAATGACTCCTAATTTTACTCCTTTTAACTCCTCAACAAGTCAGATCTTGCAGAACTGTCGCGAATAGTAGATTTTTGAAGTTTCAAGCGATTTTTATGATGATCAAGAATCATTTCGACCACCCGATCGAGTGGTCGAAGTGATTCTTGATCATGCAGGGTACCCCATTTATGAAGAAAGAGCGTTCAAAGCGGAACCAGAATCCTCAGATTTGCAATGATGTTCAAGCTATGCGCGCGAGTCTATCATTGTACAGACGACGTACTGAGCGCACGACAGAGCTTTTCGGACATTAGAACTCAACTTTTGTGGCACGGATTATGATATGTCGAGGTCTCCGGAGGGCCTTACAGAAATGGAAACCTTTGAAAGAAGAAAATCAGCGTTTGTACAGTCGAACCATTTCCTATGATTATGTGTGTCACTGCACACGCTCTCCACCTTTGACGTCCCCACCCTAGAAATGCAAAAACGCAAGAGACCGACCGCCTGTTATCGCTTACATCACTTTGTGAAGAGTGGTACTCAAAAAGAAGAAGAAGCATGAAGAAAACATTGGAAACATTTAGCGGAAGGGCTCTCTGTTCCTAAAATCCAGGATGAGTACGCCAAAGGTGGACAATATGTGCACTGACACACATGATCATATGAAATGATCCGACTGTAACTAGTTGGGCAGAGGGCGGCGTTGAGCGCAAAGCGCTTGAACACATGGGGATCTCGATAGCTGAGACTAAATTTTGACCATATCGCTGCTGATTAGAAAAGAAACAGTGGATAGAAAAATATGTTACTGCGACGGAACCGTCCCAGAAATGAATATGTTCAAGCAAAAGTTGGGTTGCTTAGATTTTTGCGCACACACAAGTCAAAATCACACAAAACTCAAGAAAAACACAATTCATTCATTTATTCGTAGATTTCAAAGACGCCTAAGGCACTGCATATTTTTTCCTACTAAATGCTAGTTCTATGACTGCCAAGATGTGGGGACGCGTGAGTTCCTCCAAGGGATCGTCGCCGCTTCTTCTCCAGGCGCGCTGAGAGACAGTATTCCCTTCTTAAAAATTTGACGAAAAGTCAGAATATCAGAGAAATTATCACATCTCATAGAGAAAAGTTCTGAGTTTTTGAAAAAAGAGAAAGTCTTTCTACAGCATTTGTATATTCAGCCACTCGCCGCAAAGATGTAAACAAATACTTGAAAGTTTGACAGTTGAAGCTTAACCTTTACCATACAATCCCGCTCGTATTTCTCTAAAACGCGACGCACAGTCGCCCGATTCACGTGACATCACCGTACAGTGGCCATATTCGCTTCAAAGTGGACGAAGTCTTAATTCGGAGCACCATTCGATTCAGCTCGGCGCTGCGCATCTTCTTTTGTATAGAAGCGCCGGAACACAGTAGGAGGCCAGATTCTACGAATTGTTTCCGGTTTTTGCTTGGTACAAATAAAGTTTTACGTCAGCAAAACTGATTACGATATATTCGCTTTTGAAAGGGTGGATCTTGATAATTCTCTTAGAAGCTAATGTGGAAAAAGTTCATAACTTTGTTCAAAGCGTCGCACAGCACATAATGAAC